ACAAACACGAGTGTCTGTGTCTTAAACGACATCGTGTTCAGAATTTTCCATTTTCGTATTTTATTGGGCTTCGAATGGGCTTTTGTTTCTTGAAGTTTAAGCAACATCTTAAACCTAAACCCCACTTTAGGTTACGTCCTAGAAAAACACACCTCTTTCCAAAAAAATGATAACATTCTCAAATGGAAATCAAAATGGAAGTTGGCCATACGGCCATACCACAAAGTACAGAGTGTAAATTAGATGAACAAATACTTATAAATAAACATGATTTTCGTATTCGATCTTACTTGAGAGGAAGTATTACATTTGCTTTGAATAAAAAATATATTCTGTTCCAAGAATATAGGGCTTCATCAATCCATTTGTTTTTTGAAACATAATATAATAGAATAAAAATTAATTTATGTTCAGAAACGTTGGTTTAAAAAAAATAAAAAATGTAGATTACATAAAATTTATTGGAGATTTTATGGCAAAAAAAAAAAAAATTGGCCGTGCCTATAAAAACCCTTGTTAGTATACAGAAACCCTAATCATATCTATCACAACAACAACAAAAAAAACACAGAGAAAGATGATGAGTGAAATCTGTGAAGAGATATGGACATTTATAGTGATTTTGTCTACATTTGGCATCTACATATCACTCATCAGTCTATGTATTTCATCTTCTTTGTCCGCCTGCGCACCAATAGGTGCCACAACTTTGTACGTAGTGTTGCTCCTCGTGTCGCATTTGTGCACAAATATTCGTGTCTACAAAGAAGAAGAGCCTCCTCTACCCGCAACACGAGCGAGCTACTCTATGATTCTTATAGTAGCCATGTTTTATTTCCCTTACTATTACTCAACCTTTGGCGTTTTGTTTTACGTATGTTCCATGTTTGCATTCGGCTTTGGTATCTTCCAGCTCAATTCTCCTATGGACACTAAACACGCCGGTTTCACCTTATTCATTGGTTTCCTCTCCGCTTGCCAGGGATTTTGGCTCGCTTATTGTTGGCCAGATACAGAACGTTCCATTTTGTGGGTTATTGCGTTTGCGATCCTTTATGCAAAGCTTATGTTCCCCATTAATGGCATCTATTGGTAGTATCAATCTTTACAGTTCTCTTTCTTGTTACGTTTGAGATTCTTTTAGGCTCTCAATATGCAATAAAGAACATATTCTAGTGTTAAAGAGTATAAGTGTGTATATATTTCCCTCTGTTGTGTTGTGATGTTAGCTAAGGAACTAGTAGTTTGATTCTCTGAAACTAAGGAATCATTCTTTGTGTCTGCAATCACAATCCTTGTCTTTGTTGAATTCTCAATCGCGAATCTCGTCTTCCCTCCTTTCCCTGACAATCTCCTGATAGCTCGCAACTGATGCTCCCCTTTAAGGGTCTTCACATCCTTTATCTCAAAAGATTCCACATACAACTCGTCCGTTCGCAGAAGCGAAATAGCATCAGGGATATCAAAACCGAGCATTAAAGCGTGTACGTAATCCGCAGACTTCTGTTATAAATGTTTCTTTTCAAGCACATGATGCAACTGAACACCGATTTCTGACCCTATATGTCACCAATTGCAACTTCAACCCCATTTATCATATAACCTTATCACAACCTTGGAGGATCCAGCTTGGATTCAGATTCAGAAAACTTATAGAGCACTGACTCTAATGACAAACATAGTGGACTAAAGTGGTCGCCTGAAAAATGATCTATGACCTCAAGTTCAAAGGCACCCTATTACTCTGAAAAAAAACTAACATTGAATAAGGTAGTAAGTAACCGAACACAACATGGTATGCTTATACTGGTGCATTGTTCCTTTCCAACAAAAGCATGCACATAACTTAGAAATTTCTGAAGAAGATAAAACTGGAAAATCAAGGAAAACACAAAGAACCAATCTTCTTTCTAGCCCTGAAATCATCTTCCGTCAAGACTTTACTTTCCACAAGTTCCTTACGCAATCTCTAACTCACTTCATATCATCCATCTTACTCATACTAAAAGGAACTTGATAAGCCTATGAAACCATAAACTTTTAACCCAAAAAAAGCAGCTTAATGCTCCGATTACAGTTAGATACCTATTTTCTCGAATAAGCTTAAAACGTAGCCTCCGGTTCTGCAAATACTGAGTTGCTCTGCAGATGTCAAGGCGGCTGATTTATTAGGCTCCTCTTCACATTTAGCAAGCTGTTGATAGTAAAAATGGTTGCATAAACAACAGATATACTTTCCAATCAATAAAATCACACCATGGCACATGCACAAGGGATAAATTTCAAACTCAACAGAGTGGATGGGTCATGAAGATTCCAAGGAACATGCACAAGGCCATCAATGCCAGAGACACAATCAAACTCAAAAGGTTTATAGTCAAACATGGCAAAGACCTTCCCAATGACCAAGATAATGAAATTTCAATGATACAAATGAATATGAACCAATGGCAATATATGATTCTACAAGATTCGCTGTAGTAACACTATCCGCTATTCTAAAAGCCCCCAAGTTAGCTTGTTTCCAAAAGGATAACCTGTTCAATAGAGAAAGAAGCTTATCCGAGTGGTACCTGAATGATGGCCATGCTTGAGGCCTGGATACAGAGCCAATTAAGTCGGAGTCTTCCCCCGCAAAGATAACATTGGTATATCTTAAGGTCGAAACACTATCCACAGCCCATAAGAAACTTTCCATAGAAGCATCTAGTTTGGAATGAACCAAAGAGAAGGACCTTCTTCCATGTATCAAAACTTCACTTTTCTCATTCCTCAAGACCCAAGCTGCACCGCTATTTGCAGAAGATTTGTTCCAGGTAGAGGCTATGTTACATTTGACCCAATTGGTCTGTGGAGGTTTCCATCTGGTTTGTGGCTTCACATTTCCAATGAGACTTGTAGCCACAGTTTGAGCCATAAACCATTGGTTAGAATCATCCAAAATCTTCTCCAATGTAGCTAACCCACAGTAACTAAGCCCTTCAAAGGTTAGTTTGTTCCGATTCTTCCATAACTGGTCACATATCTAAATAAAAAATCAAGCTTTATGTTAACGCAAAACTCAACTCTTCAATTGAAATTGAGATAATACGAATCAATGTTCGATACAAACACGAATTCGTCTTCTTACCTTTGATAGATTCTTGTAAACAGAACCAAATCTACAAAGAATAAGGATTCAACTCCACAAATCTCCAAAAGTTCCCAGAAAAGAGAAAAACTATTGCAACTATTATGAACAAGAATGAATCTGCTGAATCGTTGAGCTAACGATTCTTCATAAATCTGTGTAACAACCTCCTAATCTCCACCGTCCGATTCTTCTTAACGATCCTTTATTCACATCCCTCCACGTGTCTCTTCCTTCCCTATAACACTTTAAGAGCAAAGGCCAACGAAAGAAGCTGCGTGTAATGTTTGGTATATTTTTGACCATAGAGAAACTGAAGAAACATAAAACAGGAAAAACAAAAACAATCATCATAAGGAAAAATCTGATCCAACACGAAGCATTGTGAGAAAATTAGTCATGAATCTGATTAACAATAAATACCCGATATAAACTAAAAATTACATACTTTTCATCTTCTGAGTCTGATTTTCGGATCATTTGGGTAATCATCAAATGCGTATTCACCACTTTGATCAAAAGAAATTATAAGCCAAGATTCTTCAATATTCATCGGCGATTTAGTGAAAACTGGAATCGAGATTCAGAAACGGGTTTTGAAAAGGATCCGACCCGACTTTTCTAATTAAAAATGGGCCGGCCCATTAATTCTGACGATAAATAAGTGAACGACGCCGTTTCATTCATAAAACAAATTCAAT